CTACAACTGTCCATGAGCAAATAATCCACATTCTGCCTGATGATCTTGGACTTATCAAGTGCTGAAGTCAGCAGCCGGTATACTGCCTGCCAACCTTGAGCTTGTCAGGCCCTGCAGCTGTGTGAATTGGGAAAAGGTTCCAGTTTGATGTTTGATCCAGGAACTTGGGACTTGACAGTTTCTGTAACTGTGTGAGCCATTTTCCCAAGATAAATTTTTCTCTCTCTCTAAGCTTTACTGGTTTTGTTTCTCTAGAGAACCCAGCCTAGCACAATAAGAAAGCCAGATACTGATGTTCCAGATGTCAGGTTGTGTTTTTTCCTTTTCTTTCAAAACATTGCCTAAAAGGATGGCAGTGCTATTTTAAGTTTTGAAAAATCTTGTTATTGATGACTACCACCCTAACATAAGCAACAGTGGGGTAATTTTCTGCTTCTCTTCATGATATAACCCTCCATAGATTAGGTCTACTGAAGTCTTGGTAGTAACTAATTACTTCAGGATGCCCTCCAAACAAAGAATAGACTGCTTCTTCCACTAAAGATGTCTCAGTTCTTAATTGCCATGGAATTGAACATCATTAAAGTAAACTCAAAGCTCAAAATGTATAGCTTTGATAACTCTTCAAAAAGTGAACATACCTGGGAACAAGCATCCGGATCAAGAAATGTAACAATTTCAGCACCTGGAAACCCTCTTCATGCTCTATCCCATACATTATTCCTTTCAACCCAAAGGAAGCCCCTATTCTGATCTCTATCACCATAGATTAGTTTGGTCTTTCAATTTTATATAAACAGAATATTCAAAACTCAGTGCCATTGAGTAGGATTCAACTCATAGTGACCCCTCTTTGAGTTTCCTAGGCAGTATCACTACGGAAGTAGATTGCCCAACCTTCCTTCCGAGGAGTGGCTGCTGAGTTTGAACCACCAGCCTTCTGGTTAGCAGTCAAATGCCTTAGGCACTATGCCATCAGAGCTCCCCATGATATGTATATGTAGTGTTTGCCTTCTTTCAATGTTATATTTGAGAAATTTTTCTATTTTTTAAAGTGAAACAGTAATTTACTCATTCTCACTGATATCTAGTATTTCATTTTAATAGCATGCCATAATTTATCTATCTATTATATTATGGAAATGTGGGTTAGCTATTCAAAATATTGATACTATGAATTTTCTGCTATGTATTTTGGTATACACACACACATACATATATTAAAAAAAACGAACTCAGTGCCGTTGAGTCTTTTCCAACTCATACTGACCTCCATTGGGTTTCCAAGGCTGTCAATTTTTATTTAGGGAAGTAGATCACCCAGTCTTCCTTCCATAGAGCAGTTGGTGGGTTTGAACTGTTGATCATCTGGTTAAAAGTCAAGTGTCTTATCTACTACACCACCAGAGCTCCTGAAACATACACACACACACACACACACACACATACATTGTTGTTGTTGTTATATGCCGTCGAGTCGGCCTCGACTCATAGTGATCCCTCCTTGGGCTGCTGAGACAGTATCACTAGAAGTACATTGCCCAACCTTCCTTCCTAGGAGTGGCTGG